TTAACTGAACAATTACTTTGCAGATTTACAGAGCTCTACCTAACAGTTCCCACTATTACTTTTTGCTTGCGTTAGATAGCTTAACAGGAATTTTTATTAACATTTCCCCATATTATTTCAATACTCTGAAGATCCATATAGTTACATGAAATTTGATCCTTGATTACACATGTGGGTATAAATCTCTATTCAACAGGCACTCACCGCCAGCTCTCCGTGGCAAAGGCGTCTGTGCTTTGCTCTGCCGTTTGCCATGCGCTCCGTGTTGACCTTTCTGCGGATTCGAGGAATGGTGGGCGGCAGTCATATGGCCCTTTCCCATGTCTATCTGCAGGTGCGTATGTCGATGCATTCCAATTGACTAACTTGCTATTTTTACCAAACATTTTTGGCTGGCCTGTGCGCATCCATTACTTAGGTTGAAGTTGTAAGTTGAACTTTCATTAATTGTACACCTACATAACCTGCATATGGACCATGTGTAAGACTGGGCCGTATGCAACCGATGCGATTGGTGTCCTCCGAACACCGCCATACCAATACCTCCAAACCCAAAAACAGTTCCCGACATCTGTTGTTACCCTCGCTAATACAAGACTCGCACAAACATTATCTTGCATCGCTTCAGGATGGCGTCTCCATATTGGGCGGTGCTATTGGTGCCATGCGCATACCCGAGAAGTGGTTTCCCGGCCTGGTCGACTTCTATCTAAACTCGCATAACATTATGCATGTGCTGGTCGTGGTGGCCGTCTACTCCATGCATAAGGTGAACTAAAGTCAGGGAGCATATATAATACTATATAGTAATTATTGATTTATCATTTTGTCAGGCAACAATCAAAGACTTTGAATGGATGTCCACACAGACGTGCAATTCGGTGGCCAATGCCACCGTCGAACAGTCACTGACCCATATTGACCTATGACCCGCTTACTGGCTGCTCCTAATCCTGCTGCTCTCACTGCTGCTCCTGCTAAAGCCCCAACCACGACGTGCCCGAATCAATTGGAAAATGCAAAAAATTCGCTCGCAGCCTGACTAAACGGCTGTACAGAGCTGATCTAAGCTTCAAAATGCTACTCGAATATACCGTGTATAAAATGAGCGCGTGCTGTAACAGTAACAATATGAATAAGAATAAGAATAATATAAATATATATATATATATATATATATATATATATATATATACACATATATATATATATATATAATAATGACTAGATATATGTACATATGTATATGTATAATTAGTACATACTTCGACTGTGGTATTTAGCATTAAGACGATTATGATTTATCATGATGTATGATAAAACGATGAAGAAAACAAAAACAACAACAAAGCGCTTTCAATTACAACTTCTATGCGCGACTCTCACGCAAATCTCTAGTACTATATGGACGATAATTTCAATGATGTTGATACATATGTACCTCATTATGCTTACAACAAAAACGAAAATAGAAAATTAAACAAAAAATAAACGTCTAATTTTCAAGAATAAATAACTTTGTACCTCGTCGACTATAAAGCAAACAAAATGACAAAATCGAAAACTAAATTCTAAGAATACTTAATTTACCAATCTTCCTAGTTGAAAATTACTAAAATTTGAAATATCTTTATTTATTTGATTGAATTGAAAAAAAAAAAAAAAAAAAAAAAAAACAAAATTAAGTAAAAACTGATCCACTAATGTGTATTTTATGCCATTAGTTAGTTGTAACAATTGGACAAGTGTGAACATTATCTTCAAGCTAAATTAATGCTGAAACAATTTAGAAACCAACTTCCGAATGCTTAATTTTAACCATATAATTTTACTTTAACTAGCGAATGATTGAACTCTCCACAAATAATAATAATTGAACATTTTCTAGTTTTTAAGTGGCAGACGTAGAATAATACAATTATAATTATAGTACGGCAAAGTATTTTAAATCCAACAGATGGAACAATTATGAGTAACTAGTGTTTAGTAGTTTCAATAATTTACACCACGCCCTAAACAAAATAAAGCGAATGCAAAATATAAACGAATAAAGCTAACAAAATTACAAAATAAACGAAAGCAATAAAAACCTGTAACATTTATGCTTGTAACAAGTTGTAACTATGTTTTAAGGAGCAATTATAGCAATAATGATATACATACATATAAATATATAATTTTCCGAGAAAGTTAATAAACATTAAACGCGTACAAAACGGAGAATAAAACTAAAACAATTTTTCAATTGCATATTTGAAAGCGCGCCAACAGCACCAAAACTCACCCCCAAGTATTGTTGTTAAGTAACTACTAAAAAATTTAGTATTTTACCATATCAAAAAAATAAATTTCGACAAAAATACCAAATATATGTACCAGTGTGGCCATGCGCCTTGAATAATGTTGAAAATACAGCAAGTTGGCATCACTGTTCCGTTTCGAGCTACATTGTAACTATTGTTTTGCATTTGCCAACAATTGTTTGAAATTTTAAACTAAAGCAAAAGTAATCAAACATAAGAACTAAGAATGAGCACCCAATCAGCAATGGCCGACGGTACAGCAACGAAGTCGGCCAATTTCTTTGCGCTACAGGCGGCATTCGAGGTGAGTATCAACAAATGTTGGGAACTGCTGCACCGGCAAATGTAAATTCTTCATTCGTTGCTTGCAGACCGCCCTGGAGCAGGCGATTGCGGAGAATGATGTGGAACAGTTGATCAAAGAGTATCACAGTTTTCGTGCTAATTCCGAGCACGACAAACGCTCGCCCATGGACCAGGCGTTTCGGGAGGTGCTCATGAAGCGCTTGAGCGACGATGTCGAACGCATTGGGGCGCTTGTGCGTCTGTCTGTGGACGCGGCGCGTGCAGAGATTGTATCGAACACAATTCCAGTTGTTTTGCTTGGGGATACCTTCGATGTGGTTACGCTGAACAAGTGTGAGCTCATTTTCAAGTTTGTGGAAGACCTCGTTGAGGTTTGGAAGGAGGAGATCTTCTTTGCGTCGTGCAAGAACAATTTGCTTCGCATGTGCAACGATCTACTGAGACGTTTGTCTCGCACACAGAATACCGTTTTCTGTGGACGCATTTTACTCTTTCTCTCCAAGTTCTTTCCCTTCTCGGAGCGCTCTGGCTTGAACATTGTGTCCGAGTTCAATCTGGATAACTTTACCGAGTACGGTCTGGATAGCAAGGACCACGACGACCTTGATAACAAGGAACTGGAGGATACGGCTGAGGATATACCGCTAAAGATTGACTACGATTTGTATTGCAAGTTCTGGTCGCTACAGGACTTCTTCCGCAATCCCAATCAATGCTACAGCAAAGCACAATGGAAAATGTTTCAAATGGTAAATTACAAAATAACCACCGATTGCAAAGGATAGCTTTAGCGTGTGCTTTATCTAAACAGCACGCCGAGACCATACTGCAGTCATTTTTGAGCTTTAAACTGGAAGATTTACGCCAGAACACCGATTCCAATGGTGCTGCAAATGGTGTCAATGGCTCCAGTGGCGACTCAGGCGCACAAATGATGGATGTAGACGTGGACGATGCTGCAGTCGATGCAGCTGCTTCGATGGCTGTGCGCAAGGAAACGAATTTCTTTGCCAAGTTCTTGACCAACCCCAAATTGCTCGCGCTCCAGCTGTCCGACTCGAATTTCCGGCGTGCCGTATTGGTGCAATTCCTCATACTGTTCCAATACTTGCAGGTCAGCGTCAAGTTCAAAATGTAAGTAGCCAACTAGCCCCACACGCCTGCAGGCATTCAAAGCTTTCATTGATTCTTAGTGACACCTACACCCTGACGAGTGCTCAGTCCGATTTCATCAAGGAGACGGAGCAGCGCGTGTACAAGCTGCTGGAGGAAACGCCTCCGAATGGCAGGCGTTTCGCGCGCACTGTGCAGCATATGCTGCAACGCGAGGAGATGTGGAACAATTGGAAAAACGATGGCTGCAAGGAATTCAAGAAACCCGAGGAGCCAGAGCCCACCGAAGATGAGTCGAAGCCTTCACCCCCAAAACGTGCCAAGCGGCCATTGGGCGATTGCCTGCGCGAAGCGGCACGCAATGGCAAATTCTATTTGGGAAAGTAAGTCCCGCCCGTCCATATGTGCGTTTATATAAATAGATATATCTAATCATTTCATTTATTAGTGACAATCTGACTCGGCTGTGGAACTACTCGCCCGACAATTTGCAGGCTTGTAAGAGTGAGCAGCGAAACTTTTTGCCTCAGTTGGAAACGTATTTGGAGACGCCGTATGACAAGACAGATCCGGCTTTCGAGTGGCGTGCCTTGCGTCTGCTAGCCCGTCAGACACCACATTTTTTCACGTTCGTGACGCAACCATCGTGTAAGATAGCCGACTATCTGGATGTGGTGCGCAAACGTTTGGCGCGCGAAAAGGAGCTGGCTAAGCAGATAAACACCGCAGCAGCGAATGCCTCCGAGCACAACAATGGTTTGGCTGCCAGCAGTGCACCAGCTGAACAGGAGCATGACGCATCGGTAGCATTGCAGGAAACGGAACCAGAGCCCGACCTGGAGGTTGAGGACCCCGAGCCTGTGGTCGAGGAAGCGGACGAGACACCGGCACATGAGAAGCCGCTGATGGTGACAGCCGCCCACATCGAGGAGATAACACCGTTGATAGGCGAGCCCTGGATGAAAGTGGGCAAGAAGATCGGCTTCAGCAATGACGAGCTGCTCTTCTTTCAAATGGAAAATCCCACGCCAGGCGTGGCCTGCATGAAGATGTTGACCAATTGGATTTCAGACGACGACGATGCCACGCTAGAGAACTGGGCCTACATGCTGGAAGGCCTGGAAATGCACAAGGCAGCGGATGCCGTAAAGGCGATCATCGAGCGCGAGAAGGCGGGCAGCACACAGCCACAGCCCCAAGCCGAGGTCCAGCCGGATGCGAACAGCAATGATGTGGAAATACTGTCGGACTAGCAGAGTGAAACAACACGATAAATAATTATTTTTATGCTGTTATATATTCATCGAATCCTTTATCACATGTAATAAACGGGCATAAGTCAATGTCCAAAATCTAGTTAACGATTCCTTACTGGCGGCTGTGGCGGGTTCTTGCGCGGCTTGTTGTGCTCCATTGTGGCACAGCGGGGAATATGGCGCTCGGCGGCCTGCTCATTGAAACGTCTGCCGCAATGCGGGCACTGGATGTAATCGGGATTCTCTGAAGGCGGCGGCGGCGGCAAATCACTGAGTTTGCCGCCACGTGCCAAATGGGCCTGCACCTTTTTGGCAGCCCGTATGGCCTCAATGAATTCCTCGTGCTTCTTGCGCCAGTTGCTCTTCTTAACGCCAGTCTTGAGGCCCTTCTGCTGGGCGGCACTGCTATATGTGGACTGTGAACGACTCAGGTTCGACTTCTGCTGCCCCTTGTTGTACTTCTCGTTGTCTGTGCCCTTCACACGCTGCTTGGCGGCATCGAAGATCTTGCGCTTCGTGTTCATGGTTCGCTGGCACACATCCTCGTGCTTGGCCAGGCGATCGATGTTGAAGTGACGGCCGCAAAAGCGGCACGTTTTTGTACCTTCTGGAGGAGCAGCATCCTGCAAGCCACACGGAACAATGTCAGTATATCTGGTAATATATTCATGGATTAGCTACACTTACCATTTGAATTTTGGTAACTGGAGATTTAGGTTTAACCTAGTGCCGTTTGTAATAATACATGATACAAATGATATAGACTTTGAATGCTCGAGCGTAGCCAAGTCGATGCTAACGTGACTTACCTGACGCCCCTTTGGCGCTGAAACGCGTCCCCTCCCCGACAGTGGAGCCCGTGCGTTGGGCGAGCGAGCAGCTTGCATTGTCGGTGTGGTTGCGGTCGCTGTTGCTGTTCTTGTTGTTGCTGTGGCTGCTGTGGATCTAAAGGTCTTGACCCTGGCGCTGCTTGGGGGCGAGGAATTTGCGCGCATTGGCATCTCCTTCTCCTTCTTGGGTGGCGTCTTGCGTGTTATCACTGGCTTCAAACGATTTGCATGTGTCAGTGTGCCTGCAGCACTATATTTGTTGTTGTTGTTGTTGCTCTTGTTGTTGCTGCTGCTGCTGTTGTTGTTGTTGTTACTGTCACTGGTCAAATTTCGGCCAGAGACTGGCTTCTCTTTGAGGCTCATTGTGGAAAGGCCTTTGGTAATCTGGTGCTGCTGGTGCTGCAGTTGCTGTGGCTGCTGCTGCTGCAGGCTGTGTGTGCGCGTGGAGTCCCCAATGGGCTTGAGCGGATTGCTGCGATCAATGCCGGCACCACGGCGTCTCTCGTCAAACATCTGACGCACTTTGCCATTGCCTATGAGGCGGCTGGTGGCGGCCCTGGGCGACGCAGTAACAGCCTGGTTCAGTTCCTGGCGACGCTGCTCCTGCTCCTCCTGTGTTTTCTGCTGGAAGCGCATCTGCAAGAAATTGCAAAGGGCATTAGTGCAAGTGAATCCACCAGTGACCTGGCTAAGCGGCTGTTACGGGTGCTGAATTGCTGTTGCTGGCGTGATGGGGCGGCAGTTGGCTAAGCGCCTCCACCAGCCGCCTGGCTGCCCATGATTCGTTGAGCTTCAGCGGCATTATGTGATCATGCAGAGAGTCCGACATTAAGTCGTAATAGTCAACGATTACGTCCTCGTCCGGCTGCGACATGCTGCCCATGCATGCGGCTCGTGCGAGGCGCGCGTGTCGACTAAAACCTACGTGGAACTGGACATTAGCCAGTCAGTTAGTTTCCCGAGTGGTAATTAACTGAATGTATGCACGGCTGTATATACAGACATACGTATGTATGTAGGTGTATGTGGCTTCACTCGTTTGTCTATTGAAAGTTCCGATGAGCTAGCCAAACCCACCCAATCGTCCATTAAACTGAATCTGTGTGTGTCCACTTACATGCCGCCAGTACATAAAGCCGCGGGCCACCCGACCCGCCTGCACGAAGCTAACCCTGGCGGCCGTCTTGGTTGGCTTGGCAAAGTAGTTGGGGGTGGCGGGCATGCTGCCTTCCTCAATCCCTGGAGTTGCTGTGGCCAGCCATGGCCAGCCAGCGGACAGAAAGAGGCGCTCCGCCCAGCACAAATCGTTGAAATTGAACAAAATTGTTTTTCTAGGATTGAGCACTTGACAAACTAGCGAGCCAGTTGGCAGTTGTTGTTATTCAATTGTTGTTGCTGTTGCTGTTGCTGTTGCTGCATGCCAATAACAAAAATCAATGACTGCAATGCGACCCCAAGGGTTGCTATGGAGCTGGAGCGGAGGGCGGCCGCTTGGGCTAACAATAAAACCTGTCGGAAACGGGCACGACAGAGAGTGAGAGAGAGAGAGAGAGAAGAGAAAAGGACTATCCAGCAAAGCCATGCAACATTTGTTGCACACTCGAATAACAGGCGAGCAGGCGGCAGGCAAAGCCGCCCGTAAAGGTGACAACGCTCACGGGGTGTATGCCATTCCCCAGGGGTTTTTCCCGACGACACCTGAAGCCGTCCCAAATCAGCGATACAAATCTCGAGCAACAATTTTCGAGCTTGTTTTGTGCCGTTGACGTGAATGTGTCTGTGTGCGTGCGTGTGTGTGTGAAAGGTAGCTGTGTGCCAGTGTGTGTGGGAGGAGGCCTTTGCGTTTGTATGTGTGTGTGTCAACTACTTATTTGACAATGTTGCATGTTTATATAGGGTATTTAAATACGGTATTCTATGTTCATGTATATATACATACAGTCAATATGTAAACGAATTAATGGATATGGATGTATGTGGGTACACCTTGTACTTAAATAATTCCCAAGTATTTAATTAAACGCCCAGTATACAAAATAATATATGAAATATAATGGATTTCGACCAAGATAAGCGAAATGTCAACTGTGCAAGTCTTTTGTCAAGCAATCATCAATGAGAATCTCTAGCAGGCTGCCATAAATATAATTGTTTATTAATCGAATTGGGATAGAGTGATGTCAGACTATCATATCAGGCATTTCAGTATACGAGCACTGAGAGAGCATCAAATGAAGAGAGAGAGAGAGAGAGAGAGAGAGAGAGAGAGAGAGAGAGAGAGAGAAAGTCTTAGCTAAATAACTATTCCTACAACACCTCTATTGTTATTAATTCTTATTTAAACTGTTCGTCATGCCAAATTTGGGAGCTGAACTTAATGGGCTGGGAAACAACTATAACAAGAATCAGCATTGGGGTCCAGTGCCACATAATGAATTTCAAGTCTAGACAAGAAGATCTAACATCAGCTGGCCATGTATGGAGCGCTACGGAAATTGACAGTCACACTGACTGTCGGCCAATCGCCGAAAATTGGGGGCGGAGTATAATTAATGGGCAGTGGATGGAGCTCGGCACGCTTCCTGTCAAACTCGGCGAACTTACCCGCATTTGTGCCAGCCTTGAGGTTGGGTAATTAGAGGCATCTTGTGACGCCATCACCAAATAAAGCCTGTTCTCCCTCTCTCTCTGTCTCTCTCAAAGCTGAGTCTCAACGGAGGCTGGTGTGGGCAGCAGCAGTCGGCGAGGGAATCGGCGCTGACGATGACGCGGCACAGCTGCTTGGTTTGGAGTGTAGACCCGGCTTAAGCTCAGCGGTGAGTCACGCACAATCGTCTATGAGAGTCTTGGAGTCTTGCGTTGCGCTGTGCCTAAAAATAGCTGTAAAACAAAGCCAAAAAACAAGAGAATTTTGAGTAAGCTGAGCGGCATTTGAGCGCTGTTAGCTCTGAGCTGTAGCTGTGCATGTGCGCCAGGAGGCGTCAAGGCAATTGTTGTCGCGTGGGCAGCCCATCTGGAAGTCGAAGATCAAGCGAGATCGAAGCTGGAAGCCGTACCCAGTTGCTGGCAGCCTTCGCTCGTATCGTGGGCCGTGGGCCGTCTGCGACATTCAGTTGCTCCAAAAATGGGCTGCTCAATGAGCAAACTAATTCAATTGAGTTTGATTCGCTTACCGAATTGAATGAACTACGGTTAATACTCCTCGCTGGCCTCACATACATGCATACATGCATACATACAAACATATGTATGTGCGTGTGCGTATAGGTATATTTATTTCTATATATATATGTATATATGTATATGCTCCGCATAAGCGCGTGAACGAGTGCCAATAGAACCTTGCTCCTGTTTCAAAGCGTTGCTGGGTACAATTTAAGAGTCGAATTTCCTAATAAACTGCTATTGAGGTGATATATAAAGCTCCCGAAATATAATCATGTCAAGTTTCTGCTTGCTTCCGAATTTAATAATTTCCTTATACTGTTTTTTAAAGACTTCTGTAACGAACCGGATACTTTTACAGTTTAGTCGGAGCCCACTAAGAAGCGACTTTGAAAGGCGAAACTTTCAATGAAATGAAATGGCACACTTTAATGATCATATTTAAATAATAATGCGATAAGCTGCATATAAATAAATTTTCTGATTTACATAAAACTGATTTGAAAGCTGTTAGCCCAGATCTCTGACATTGCCTAAACTCTAAGATTACACACAGATATCGTATGCAATGAGATAATCTTCGATGAAAAGCAAACTAATTTGATTTATCCCACACGCTTGGCTTAGGGCATTCAGTAGTCGGCATTGCCGCCCACGGTGAGTACACAAAGCAATTAATTTATGTTTATTTTTTGGCACACGTTCGAAACTAACAGTTTGTGTGAGTGTGTGTATGTGTGTGTGTGTGTGTGTGCTTTGAGGTGTTTTATGTGTGTTGGCATTCGGCTGCGGCAAGTGCTTTGATTTGCATAACTTTGAAGCTGAAGCAACTTACCTATGCGCTGACTCTTGTTGAGGAATGTTTGCTATAGGGAAAGACAGGCAAATGTATGCACTCACACACACACACTGACACACACACTAACAGGGCTTCAGCCTGCTGGTCAATTCACGTCAAATGCCACTCGAGTTTATTGACACAGTTCAACGTTGGTTCGACTTTATAATGCATGCCTTTTGAAAGTGGGACACAGGACAGCGTCAGCTGGTCAAGCTGACAGCGGGCCTCTGCAATCACGCATACGTCGCGTGTGCCCGAGCCAATATGCTAAACTGGCTAACTGGCTAACTGGCTAAATCTGTGCCACTCGTCGGCCGGCTTGGACTGTTTGCTTAGAAGCTTGTACGCTGACTGAGACAAAGATTGCGGCCGCACACAAAGCCAGCTAGCTAGCCAAAGCCAAAGCCAAAGCCAAAGCCAAACGGTTAGCGTCAGTCGAACAAGTTGTGAGCAGCTGCAGGCAGTGACTGAGGCAGCGACTGAGGCAGAGCCAACCGAGTCGCCGAGAGTGCACTGATCGCTGTCGATGACGCGACACTCTCAACGTATGTGGATGGCGTGTCCAGTGGGCGTGGCACGCTGTACATCTGTTGCAAATAATATAAAATACTTAAATGAAACGAAGTTTTTGTTAATCCACAAATATATATACATATATTTATCGCTCGATTGTTACTGCTGTTCATTTTCTGTTCTTTGGTATATGAAATCAACGTTGACTTATCAACGTTTCTTTAAGTTTTTGGTTTTTGTTTGTTTTTGTTTTCAGTTTCAACTTTAATTCTCTATCAACTTGTTGCTCACATCGCAAAGCTCGTCTGGGTGCTTGAGTACATATTAGGAAGTGTTTCTCTAAACCAACCTAAATCATAATAATTAATCATAAATTACTTTTGTGAGCTGACGCTCGTACCCCAGACAGAGAGCTGTCTGATATTCTAAGTGACCTGGCACCATCGTTAACAAATTCATATAAATTGCGTCTATTAGCATGGGAGTGCACTCAGTCAGGGTATTTGAACTTCAATAAGTTATGCTTGCCTCCACACTCATATTGCTCGCATTGCGTTTCTCTTCTCATCATTTGTTTATATAACAATTATTATTCATTACATTTCTGTTGTTTAGCTTTTACTGCGGTTTTGAAACCTAATATGTTCGCGTTTTGCCTTGCGTTTTGTTTACTTATTTCATTTTTTATATTATTTCTTTTTTGAGCGAATTTTCATAAGTTTGTTTCTCTTTAACAATTTTATATATATACATGCATACATATATATCCCATGAACTAATACAACGCATGTGTGAGCTCTCTTCGTGGTCTTAGCGAATCACTTAATAACTCTTCAAAATATATATATATATATATATATAACTTCATTTTCTTTGACTCAAATGCGAGTTCATGAGTTTTCGTGCGTTTTGCCAACATTTTGAAACTGACTTTTCTGCTTTTCTTTTTTATTTGAATTGGTTTCTTTTTTTTAAATACATTCAAATATGCGTTTTTTTTTTTTTTTTTTTTTTTTTTTTTTTTGTATATATACTGGATTAAAAATATAGACACCGTGTACATTCATATAATTTATTAGATTACAGATATCGTTTTACCATTGTCTTGCTCTGTCATAGTCGTAATTGTAAACATGGCAATACCAACAGCAAAAGACTTTTCAAGTGTAGGGGATCGTGTCTCCAATATGAAAAGCTAATGTATATACATACATACATGCTATATACATACATATATACGTTTGTATTTTCATTTGAACTGTAGGTAGTGTGTTGTATGTGTGTGTGAATTATTAACAATTTACGATCTTATTTAGTTTACTATAGGCTCTCTGAGGTTCTCTATAGGATTTCTTGCGTGTGGTATTGTTTTGTATACTGTGTATATAAGCTGCTTACATTGTCTAGTGCTGTGTGTATACATTTGTATTATTTGTATTTTGCTAAAATCGAATACAAACTTTACAGCGCTTACAAATACAATTAAGAATTCAATTATAAATACACACGCACATGCATAGCATTCGAAGCCAATTACTTACACTAAATCAATGACACGGCAACGTCAACATCAAATTCAATCTTTTTTTTTTTTTGTTTTGTTTTTTTTTTTTTTTTTTTTTTTTGTAGCAACATCAACAGCAGTGTCAGCTGATAATCAACAAGAACTACTTATTATTTGTTTCATATAACATGCGAACCATGCCATGGCCCAGGAGTCGAATACGCAATGTCACAGACATACGCAAAGCTGACCCAAAGCAGAGGCTCGCATCATTCTGCTCCAATCAATTAATTGTCTTTCTATTTCATTTGCCTTTCCCAAGACAAACACAATATACAATATATATGTATATATACAATATATATATGCATATGTGCATATGTCTGAAGATTCATCATTTTACTCAGTTCAACTATGTTGCATCTTTTCCGAGTTACAAATCATAAACTTTGGCCTTTCGAAAATCATTGGAAATGCATATTTGACGTGTACAAGTGATCTACAAAAAAATTTACATTTATCTAAAATCATTTTTTCTCTTTACATATATATATATATATCTTTTTTTTTTTTGTTTTTTTTTTTTTTTTTTGGCGTGTTTAATAAACATTATAAAATATGCTTGGCAATAAATAAAGACCGGAGGACTAATGTACAATTTCTATGTACGTATACAAATACATACATACATATATATATATCCAAGTACTCTATATTTAAAACCCGACTTTGGACCTTCTCAATAAACGGTTGTCACTTAGTCACGGAGTTCTTGTGCGATGCTTGCGGCTACTTTAAGATGCTTCTATGCTAGATGCTTTCTAGTACAGTTGCCACAAAAAACTCCTGCCATCGACCCGATCAATTTCCATATCAAGTGCAAGGCATCGAAATCGATATCGTTATCAAGCACTATTATGTATTCTTGCTACTCTTCCTAACCAAACGCAAGTCAATGCAAAGCCTATTAGATTTGTAATATGTTTTAACTTCATTCTTTATATCCGTGATTGTCGAAGTTGGTTTTGTGTTGACTCTTCTTCTTCTTATATCTTCATTTTATATATTTTGCCTATTGATTTATTTATTTATTTATTTTTTTTTTTTTTTGGTATTCAAGTTATTCATAAATTGATGAATTGATGCAATTTTTCGTCGCTTCCTTTTCCTGCCACGCATCGCTTGACTTTCACACTGAATTTCATTTCGCTCACACTTCAGACTACAAGATAACGCTGACGATAGGCTCGTACTACCATAAGCATATCGGCCAGCTGTCGCCAGTTTGTACTACTACAATACATAATATAGATACTTTTCTAAACAATTTAAAGCCAACATTCAATGCGCTCTAATTTAACGTCTAAACGACAATTGCTTAAGTCTTTTAGTCTACATTATTTTGTGATTTTTTTTTTTGGTTTTCATTTTTTTCTATTACAATTTTTTTTTTTTGCTTTTTATTACATTCACATAACATTTATATATATAATTGTATTTTCTTTATTAATTTATGTTTCTTTTTTTGGTATTAATTTACCAATCTCTTGTATGTTGAGATGTTGTTTGACTAAAGCTTCTGTTACCTATGCAAGCACGTGGCTTGGGCTTTGGTTGTAGTTTGTTTGTTTATCTTTTGGCTGTGTTTATTGGCTTTTGTCGACTCCAGGAATTGTGTGCTAGACACACATACGTAAGTACATATCCGTGTGTTGGTTAAAGTGTGCACATGCAGATGTTAGGCAATGGCTACTACCACCCTACAGAGAAGCCGCACACTTATTATTTGTCATTATCTGAGACACAAAATGGGAGAGAGAGAGACCGAGAGAGAGTGAGAGAGAGACACTCTGCTTTTCTGGTTACCCGTAATATCAAACATTTTTTCTTGACTTATCTTGTTTTCGTTTTGTTTTTAACATTTTGTATTTTTTTTTTTTTTTTTTTTTTAAATTTTCAACACTATGAATACCTGCACAAATGTTTTGTTTCATTTTGTATTTGTCTATGTAAATATATGTATTTGGTTTTCAACAATTTTTAATTAAATTTCTATGTTTTCTGTCCATAAAGACACAACTATTCTATCATTACATCTCTTAATATTCTTGTTCAAGGTTTCCGTAGCGGCGTTTTTTGTGCACTTGTGCACAAAAATGTTCAAAATTTGCAAAAATTTTTTTTCATTTTATTTTTCTAAACCCCTTAAAGGTTTATGTTTGTTTGTCGAAAATTACCCTAGTGTGAACTGTGATGATGTGAACTTTTTTGGTGAGTTTGGAATGACCGTTTCATTAATCTGATATTAGGAATAAAAGCGCCTGACATAAACAAAAAAGTTAAAAAATTCTTAGAATTGGAAGTCAACAATAGATAACAGAAAAATATCAGTTGATGGGAAACGTTAATTGTATCTTAGAGATTCTTAATTTAATCAAAATATTTAATTCCTAACATCGAGATCTACGGCACGTTTTTGGTTTTTGCAACTTAAAAAATGAATTTATGTGTGTTTTTTGTTGTATCTTATACGTATTTTTTGAATATATATATATATATATATTCATAACAATATACACTTGTAAACTTCTATACAAACTATTTTTAAATACGAACTCAACTCATTATCGTTACCCCTCGCAGTGAGTGACTTTAGCAGGATGCTAATAGAACCACTATGTAACGAGGATAACGATTTCATTGCAATGGAAAACCTATTTAAGATGAGATACTATAGGTATCGATCATAATCGATAATTATGGCATCTCCAAGAGACTGAACTTCATCGGGAGATTCAGCTCGAAATGGAGCGGCCTGCAAAGGACAGACCTGAAATCATAAATAGAGGTTTGATTCGATATACGTACATTTTTTTTCTTCTTCATTTTCTTTGTGTATATTTGTATAATTAATGCTAATACTATATTATTTGTTTGTTAATATTTTATCAGTACGGGTGGGCTGGTGTTATTTAGTTTTTTCAAACTGGCCTGGGTGTGCTTGGATTATTCATATGAATATGAATTCTTACTAGGATTAACTGTGTATATTTCAATAACCTGGTTTTCCTCTTGCCTGATGTTAGTTCCATTACATTCTATAGTATATCTATAGATAGTAGAATACAAAAGTGTGCTATGTAGCCATAGACAGTATATTCCACTCAGCTCCGAATAACTATCAGTTTCGGTTAATGACCTTAATACTAAATTATAAAAATATTATAAAATGCAGATGCGTATTCTGGATGAGATAATGGAGAGAGAGAGAGAGAGACATAGAGAGAGAAAGTTTAAAAAAAAAAACTGATAAAAATATAGTTTTGTACCATTTTGTTTTTTTGGAGTCATTTGATTTGCACGAAATTGTTGCATACTTTTGGGTACCAGGCAGCTCATGGAATTCTCTCGCTTTCGCTTTGTGGGTGCTGCCAGCATGCTGACTGCATGAGTGCGGATATGTATGACATTAATTAGGTTTATAATTTGGACACACACACTCGCCCTCCCAAAACCCACACAGCTGGCAATTAATTGTTCTCTTTGACTTTAATTCAATGTGCTGCGCTCGCAAGCTGGAGCTTAACTTTCCAATTGGATGCAGCTCGAGCTCGCTAATTGGCAAGCTGGCAACAATAACACGCACGGCTCCAAACTCCAAACTCAATTAACAGAGCCACGCAGATGCTGCGCCGCCATACAGACCAGATGGATGCACCACGTTGCGTATGCGCGATGCGTTTGTGTGTGTGTATATATGGGGGCATACATACACAAATGCATATATAGATATATGTTTATGTACGTCATGGAAAACACAGACAAGTACATATACATACACACACACACACACACACATATGTATAAACAGCTCTGTCGATTACCGCCGCCAAACAATAAACAATAATAAACAATAATGAGAAATAAAAAATTAGCACAGGTAAATTTGCGAAGGTGTTGGCGACTTATCAATTCTTGGATGAGTTCCAACGTTGGCCACGCTGGCAAAGAGTTAGAGATAGTGTAGAGATAGTGTAGCTTGGGGGGAAATGGAAGCGTAGTGTTCAAGTGGATAGATTTAAAATATAAAATCGCCACAGTCCATGGCATAGTCAAAGTCCTCGCCGCCCAAATCGTCGACGCCCGACGAGTGAAAGTCAAAGCCGCCAATGTCTGTGTGATAGATGGCGCCGCTGCACGAGTTCTCCACGAGATTCGTGCAGTGTGTGGTTGGGAGTGCGTGCAGTGTGAAGGTGTCCTCGCACTGCGACCAGGTGAGGCCGCCGCTCCAGACGCCGTTGGGCAACGTGGCCCAGCCCCAGCCGTGTCCCCAGGGCAAGGCGCAGGCCAGCGATGCCTTCGAGTCCGACTTCTTGCTCAATATGGCCACGGCCGCATCGCTTTTGATCAGCGGATTCTGATTGTGGAGCATTCGCTCTGTGGTCAAGGCCGCTGAGGAGCTGCGATGATGCCGACTGGTCTTGTGGGCCACCGACTTGCGCTGCTTCACCTCAGAGTTGGTGGGCGCTGTGGTTGACAACATAGCGTCGTGCGCTTAAGGATAATATATGGGCATGCTGTGGGATCATAATACTTACGTCTTATTCGCACCAGTGGACGACGCAATACATTCATCAGCTGGGGCTTATCCACGACCAGTTCGATTTGCGGCGGCGGCGGCAAGGTTTTGGTTATCGCCTCAATCCAATCGCCCACCTCCTGCTCCGACTTGGCCAGCATCCAATAGACCTTGGATCGCTTACGCCGCGACCCAAGTGCAATTAGCTGCGACACACTGACGCCATTGGGCAACGGCGGACGACGCGGAACTTGCCCAGTCCAATGGGCTATGGCCAGCATCTCTGGCGCTTCCTTGACCAACACCTTGCCGGTTGGTGCCGAGCGACCTGGCTCCGTAAACCAGGCCATGGTGGAGTCATCGTACAGTATAACCCATTCCTCTGACCACCGATTCCACAGCATTTGTTCTGGAAATTCATTTCAATTGGATATTTATTGATATTTCTTCGACTCAGATTTGATGCAAACGAAATTGTGGTTTTTACTCTATCCACAGCAAGTAGATATATTTCATGCAAATGCAATTTTATTGACTCTAGCCAGTTTGAAAAAAGTGGTATTGACGTTAATAAAAAGTGGCAAAAAAAAGAACATTTATTTTAACCAATAAAAAACAGAGAGCTGGCTGCAATCTGAATGCACTCTGAGTGCAACTCGTGTCGGGGTAAATTTATAATTGATATTCGAGGCATTTCTGGAAACTCGTGTGCTGTGCGTGTTCCATGTGAGACTCAATTATGCATTGTCTGAATGGATTAAGGCTAATTGGATCAGCTTTCAATTTACTGGCAAAACTTTTGTTTATAACAAGACAATGCAATTTCATGTATATGTATAAATGGGTATGTATATATCTGTACAGATATTAAATTGGATTTCCATGAAAACCGACTTTGGATGAATCCAACTGCAATTGCCCACTCGAACCAGACTAGATACAGTTCGCACCGCATCGCATCTATAGCTCTTTGTCCCACTCAATGAACAAGCTCTGAGAAATGGATGCAGCCTGTGCACTGTACTGAGAGTCTTTAGCTGCGCCATATATAATATTTATATAATACACCTATACATATATATATTTTTATTTATTCGATTAATTCTAAGCTGCTTAAAGGCATATCCTGGCACAGCACACGCCTAGCCATATCCTTGCTTCGCTTCTATTGTGTGGCGCATAACAATGGCGCCACAGGTAAACTTTGAGCTTTTCATTTCATTGAATTTTGCATAGCAACAGTGTGCGACAACAACAATGACTAGAATGCAAAATATTACTCACTTTTGTAGCGCAGAAGGTAGCCGCCTTTGATTTGCTTGCCCGCGCTCTCTGCAAGAGGAGAATGAAATCAAAATGAAATATTTGCAATAAAAATGGAATCCGATTGGAAGTTGAATTGAATTGAATTGAAAGTTGTCAAAGCCAATTGCAGTCAGTGCCCGCTGACCTTCAGGAAGCCAATCTGGACGCGTGCAGGACGGTTTCTCCCATAGAGAGTCACACTAAATGACAGAGTGTGAAACACTGATAAAGATGAAATTCGAATTTCCATTCTATTCTATTCATTCGACAGCAGCACAGCCACCCCTTGGCACTCTTTATCTAGCAATTCCTGCTGGGAACATGCATAAGCTCTCTTTCTCTCTCTCTCTCTCTCTCTCTCTCTCTCTAATTAAGAAAGTTTATTAAGCCCCACGCGTGTCGTAATTGACAAGCTCGTTGCCAGCGCAGCAAACTAATTAACGTGACGATGATGGATCGGCCATTGCAGTGCTCCATTTTCAATGTCACAGTAATTGATGCATTCACAGAAAAAAACAGAATTTCTACCGAATGCAGCACAACGAATCTGTATGCTGTGCGCATATCGTGTGAAAGTCAATTATTCAGAGTCTGAGTGGATTACTGCATACGCCAGGCTAATTGGATCAACGCTCCTTTTAATGGAAAACTGCTGTAGCAACGGTGTGAATGCTGCATGAATATATTCATACAGATTCAGAGTCAGATGCAAATGAAAAGTCTGATGCAGAGTGAGTATTCTACGTTATGCACCCAGTATGGCTCGCATAAGAAATGCACAGCTCTAAGCTCAGAGAATTCTCATAATTCCTTCATGTATTGTGCGCCTTGCCATGCCAATTAGCCGACTTTATGAACTGCAAATGAGTAAGTGGAAAGCGAACCATTACAATGGGCGTGGGCGTGGACGTGGGCGTGGGCGTGGGCTCATTGAGTGTGCTTAACCACCGAGCCATTGAATGGTTGTTATAGATTGTCAATGCAAAAGCGCTGACAGTGCAATTGAAAACGACTTGAGGCTGTACTTGAGCTAACCCCAAACGAAATGCAGACGATGTTAGATATAGTACACACATACACACACACACACATACCACACATATATGTACATGCATATCTGCATATCTGTACTTCTCATATGCACATGGGGGCAAGTGTCGACTGCGTGGGATACAGAGAGACCCAAAGTGGTTTGGGCTGGGGCAACAGAAGAACTAGGTCGCCGAAGGACACTGGGTGGCCTGGGCCAGCTGCAACAGCAGCAACAGCAACAGCAGAAGCAGCGGCAGTGAAGCAGACAGTCAACTGACAAAGGACATGCCGGACTGCGGACAACGGACAACGGACAACGGACAACGGACATCGGACAACGGACATGGTGTGTGCCACTTCAGTGCACGCATACAACCGCATTCATATTTCGCAGCCCACATTCCCATCTAAAGTGACAAAGCAACAGAAATTGCAAGTGGCTGCAACAGACGATGACGACGACGACGACGACGTGGACGACAACGAAGTGGACGGCGTGGGCAAGGACGCAGGCTCAGACGACACACGGCAGCAAAATCAACTTGTACATAATTGTTGCAGCCGACTGTGGGCGATGGCGAGCCATGGGCGGTGGCGAGGCGTGGGCGGTGGGCGGTGGACGATGGGTGATGGGTGATGGGCGGTTTGTGGTGGCATGGGGAAACGTTGCAGCTGCTATATACTTGCATGATTTATGCATGTGAATGCTTTCAACCCACCAACAACGGCGCTGTCAGCGCCAGGAGCGCCAGTCAAGTTGGTTGCCTAGTGGATTCGTTTAACTTGCAGTAACACATAAGTGCAGCAGGCGGGTGGCAAGCAGCTAGGTGGTGCTGGTGCTGCTCGCTGCCTGATTGTTGTCTGTGTTTATGTGTGTGTCTCTCTGCGTGTGTGAGTGTGTGTGCGTATGTGTGTGTGTGTATTTGCGCTGGCGCTGTTTTAATGATTTAATGCAGTTTATGTGCTTGGCCCAATGGGCGTGGCAATGCCACTGGCGCTGATTTCAGCATAATAACTGCGACGCTGATTCCCACTTAATAAGATGGGGCGGGGCAGAGGCGGGCGTATGTACTTACATATGTCCATAATGAGCAGGTCAACAATGGGACCGCAGCGACAGATAGAGAATCGGAAGCAGAGAGCTAAAGCCAGAGAGAAATACACTGCAAAACGGCGAGAGAGTGGGAGAGACAGATAGAGCGAGAGCGACCGAATGAGTGAGTGAGAGTGAGAGAGAGAGAGAGAGAGAGGGAGAGCGCAAAAGAGAAAGATAGAAAGAGAAATATATAGAGTGGCCCACGCACACCCACACACGAGCACTCAAGCACACTCACACACACACACACACACACACACACACATGCACACGCACAGTGCTGTGCGTCTGTGTTCGACTTCATTGAGGAAAATCGTTGCCAGGCCCACGCCGACGAGCAGCCAGGTTATTTTTTTTTTTTTTTTTTTTTTTTTTTGCAAAAAACGAGTTCAAGGGTTTGCGAGAAAATGGGGACAGCCACACTCACACACACACACACTTATATATATGGACTGTTGGGGCTGTGACTGTGGCTTAGACTTAGGCCAACTTATTTCAACTTACCCAAGTCATGCATTTGCTGAGATGTTGTTGAGGAGTCCTCGCTTCTCGGCTTCACCTTTTTGCACATGGAGAACATGTTGATAGTGTGTGTGTGTGGTCTTTGTTGATTTGTCTGTGATCGAGGTGGCGGTGTTTGTTTCTCTTTTGTTGTTGGCTGTGATTAGATTGGCAGCTTCGTTATAGGTTAATTGATAGCTAAAGCAGTTCAAGTGCTGATTGATGGTAAGTGGGTGACTAGATGGGACGCAACGTTTGCTTCATTAGCACTTCAAATGGACTCCGGCTCGGATTTCTACACAATAAAATACAAAGAAGTGATGTCAGCAACACCCGCACACACGCACACACACACACACACACACACTTACTCACATCGACAGGGAGAGAGCCGTTGTCGTTGCCGTTGCCGTTGCGAGTATCCTTCAGTTGTTGCCGGGAAGAGCATAGAAAATCGCGCGTTTTCCGTTCTGAAAGTTATTGCAAGCTCACAGGCACGTCAATACACACATACAAACAGACAGACACACACAGAATAAGACACAGAAACACATTTGAGTACACAAATGTGTGTGTGTTTTTTTTTTCGATGGTTAACGTTGCTTTCACTTTCGTTTCGCCGTTCAGGTCTCCTAGTCGCTGGCGTTTGTGCTGTTGTTGTTGTTGTTTCTGTTACTGTTGTTGTTGTTGTTGTTGTGGATGTTGTTTTGTCGAAAGTGCCAGCAACGCCTTCTCTAGGCCTAGATGGTATTGGCCCTGTGTCTGCTATCAATCGCTGGTGATGATCGAATGGGGTCCTGCCCCAGCCTCAAATCAACTGTCCAGTTGCGGTTTCTTCTGCACTTATCTCTGGCCCGCTCTCCGGGGGTCCGGAGTTGATCAGGGTCCGGCACTCCGGCCAGGCATCCGCGATGATTAACCAATGCGCCTCTCTCCTGCTGGCCGTCAATAAAATCGCACTCGCAGTGTGAAACAGAATGCGTTGCTTCAGCTTCGACTGTAGAGCTGCTGATACTGTTGTTGTTCTTCTTCTCCTCCAATTCCACTGAGTGCCGTTTGCCACCACAATTGCTTCAGTTTCTGCTGCTGCTGCTTCCTCCCTGGAGCTGATTGCCTGCTGTAAACTTTGGCTGGGCTTCCACCGCTGTCGCACTTCTGTCTGATTGAACGGTCGAAACTCGACTAACAGACGCTGCTCGTCGCGAGGCGCAGGTAAACTATGTCCGACTGCGCTGCCAGCAGCAGCAGTGCCAGCCGAGTCCTTGCCGAGTCGTTCACGAAGCGGCGTTGAAAGCTCTCGTTTAAGGACTAGGACAACACAAACATATACAAACGCGTAGGCTGGGGGCGGGACGGCTTTCGCTGCTATGCTGCTGCTTCTTCTGCTGCTGCTGCTGTTCGTGTCCTTCAACGTCCTACAGCAACAACATATTGCGATGCGTCGAAAGGCCGACTCCACTGGCGGCAAAACGGCAAACGGCCCGCCAAACAGATGACAGCAGACAACAGTTAGCATCCCAACAGCCGAGCAGCCCAGCAGCCCAGCATCCCAGCATCCCAGCATCCCAGCAGCAGAGAAGCAGAGCAGCACGCAACTGCTGCGTCACTTTCACTCATCCTAGTTCTCACTTTCGATGAAGCTGAAGCTTTATGCTTGCTGTTGCTCGGTGCTCTCTGTCTCTCAGTCTCTATTCCGTTCTCTCTCTCTCGGTAGCTCTCTCTCTCTCTCTCTCTCTCTCTCTCTCTCTCTTTCCCATTCAATGCTTAACTGGCGCTCTCCTGTGTTAGTAGGTTATGTGCACACATAGCTCTGTACATAATGTATGTGGAAATTCGTACTTGCAGTTGTCGTCGTCCGCGTCGTCGTTGTCGTCCTCCCCCATGTTGTCGTCGCCATCGTCTGTCACCGTTGTCTTTCACTTTCGGTGTTCATGTTTTTGGGCAAAACACAAGTGTGAATCGGGGCGGTAGGCGTTGTGGGCGGGGCGGGCCGCGTATCTGGAGTCGGAGCTGGGTATCGGGTATCGGGTTGGGTCGCTATCGCATCTATTGTGCGCGCCACCACAGGCAGCATCTGCTCGGAGTCTGTTTTTCCCAGTGATAATCGGTAATAATGCGTTGTGTCACTATTCAAATGGACGCCCAGTGAATAAACAGCTTTTGCTACAGTTGAAGCACTTTATTCACTGAGCCAACGTGACACTCTTATTTACTCACAATTAGATAAGTAGGTGAACATACTGAATCGAAAACATATACATATATCATGTACGACTTCCATAACGAACTATTCGCATTGAAGACTTTCTTCTGTAATATATTGATTTCCTTTTATTGGTTGTGAAGAAGCAGCAAACTTTTCTATTTTAATTTAATGAATATGTACGTTATTCCCAGCAATCATGTTCGACAAACACAATAAAAGCACACTGAGTGTACATACATACACACATATGCAAGTGCTCTGCTACCTGCGCAGTTAACGCAGTTGCTGCGCTTGGGCTGCATTTTGGGCTTTGCTGAGGGAAATTTATTATTGAATAACTTTTTTCTAGGTATACTCCTTATATATTTTCAGAGTGTAATATGTCTAATTTGTTAATTTTAAAGGGGGTTTAAATCTCTTGATTTTGAGGGATTAGAGCGAGGCCTAAAAAATCCAATTAAATGTTGATAATTATTATTCATATATACCATAATATGGAAACATAAAGATCTATCTATAATAATTATTATCTTCTCTATTTGCCAACTGAAGCTGTAAGATTGCATTTATTTATATATAGATGGACGAAAGAATTATTAATCAATTAGTACATATTCCAGCCTATGTTTCGAATATATTTACCCTGACAATCTACAAAAGCAATCGAGAAAGCTTAAAGTTATATACGTCAGAGAGGATAGTTGAGCTGGTTGACTTACCCTGAAGTATCCTAGCCCCATTTCGGTGGGGAACTAAGAAGACTTGCCCTTTGTGGCCCACCTGCCCGTTCCAGGTGTTGCACAGTGTAACATGTGGTCACCGAAAATCTCAGTGTCGAGTGCAGTAATTTCACAAATGTCGACACACCTCGCCAGGTGGCATTTCAGTGTCAACAGCAGTAAATGTGCAAATTGAATATTGCGCTTAAGTGCTGCCCGGTTGGGCTAAAATTACAGCGTGAATCTGCATAAATATCACTCAGCGTCAGTTGGTCAAAAAATCATGGAAACTCACTATTCATTTATGTCAGCATGGAAATATTGTAATTCCATAAAAAGTAAACGCATTATGAATTTTTTATACCCTGAACCCATTGAAAATGGGAAATCAGGGTATAATGGTTTTGTGAAAAGTATGTAACAGGCAGAAGGAATCATCGCAGACCCCATAAAGTATATATATTCTTGATCAGGACGACGAGCTGAGTCGATATAGCCCTGTCCGTCTGTCTGTCCGTATGAGCAAAAGGATCTCAGAAGATATAAGAGCTAGAGAGCTGAAATTTGGCATGCATACTCGTGTATACCATAGGCAGTACAAGTTTGCTTTATTTTTTCGATAACTCATCCGATAACTTTTTTATCGAGAATAATCGAAAAATCGGCATTGTTTTTTCAGCCTAATTTGAACACTTTTCAACCAGGAGACTTCAAATTTGCGTTGTATATAGAGTTAATAGACACAAAGATTTTGCAATTTACAGATTTTGGATACCACGCCCCCTTCGCCCCCAATTTGAAAAAACGCATTTCAAGTACTAGAGACTTGTGCTCTGGAATGTATACACATATTTTAACCATATGATTACGCTCTGAAAGTTTCATTAAGATTGTATGTCTACAAAAGAAATTATTCAACAAATAAATTCTCATAATATTGCCCACATTGCAGCGCAGCCCAAGCGCAGTCGCTGCTAACTGCGCAGTCAGCAGAGTGCATGTGTATGTATGTGTGCATAAAAGAAGTCCAGGTATCTCCTAGTCGAGCAGTCTCGACTGGAGCCTTCTTACTTGTTTCTTTTTATTATGAATCCATTAAAAAGAGGGGAAATGGTCTATATGAACACATATAAATAACAACTAAGTTGATTGTTTTCACGATAAATAAACTAAATAAGTAATTGTATATGGGTATACCCTATATGAAAATTTAATGTCTATTAAACAGCTCCGCTTAAGCAGGTAGATTATCAATCTAGCTATCAGTATCAACAGGCGTAAGCTTGTGAGGCTCAGGGTAATTGGGTGATATTGAAATACTGTCAAGTGGAATATAAATAGAAATTAAGTGTTGACTTAATAATGATAGTAGTACATACGGTAGTAAGGTAGTACTACATACGGGCTCAGTCATTAGTTAAGCCTATAAAGGTAAATGCCCTATAAGTTCTATGACAAATTAATGTTAGAGTTCTCAAGTCCGAGCACTTTCAACACTTTCCCAATCATTCTACGATTTTCTCTCATCAGTATATAACAATGACATTTATTTATGTATATTTGCCAAAGAACCAGTCTCTAAAATAAAAAAAAAAAGTTTTAAGCGAATATCTCCGTATTCATTGTACAAACCTTTTTCAAACTTGTGGTTTTCGAGTGTATGAACAGACGGACAGCTAGTCACCCCGACCAAGAATGCATATACCTCATTAGCCCCACCCCCTCTCGACTGATTTATAGATTTTAAAGAGACTATTATGCCCTGAATTCCCATTATTCAATAGGTGTAGGCTATCACAAAATGTCTGTGAAAGTATGCAGCAAATATCTGCAATCGCTGAGCACGATATAAGTCGGCAGCAGCAGCAGATTTTACATTGCTGTTTATTTACTTCATAACGGGGTATCGCTAGGTTTCGTGTGTGTTTAATTTCTGTTTGCCTAGTATTTCGATTGAAGGGCCACACAAATATGATGAGCCCTGTAGGTTCATTGGCCGGAAATTGTCTTTGATGACGCGGCCGTATTTTGCGAACTGCGAGTTCTTGAATATTGAATGTTACAAAAATTGGCCTATTTCATTAGTCACGCCCATTTGCGTGAAATCGTAGACGTGTAAATCCATATTTTACAATCAATACAACTTAAGAAATGAAATATTTAATGTAGACTGAAGATTAAATAATATTTAATATTAATTATTAGTTTTAATTTATTGAATTGATTTTAATTTAATTTTAATTTTAGCATAACTATTTTATATATTTTGGTCGGCTTTCCTAGGAAACATCAACCCAAACCTCTTTGCCTAGATTTCAGTGTATCTTTGAGTCGGAAACTCCCAACTATATCACGCTCATTCGCTTCGTAGTTAGACGTCTGCTGAGTTTTAAAGTCTTACAGGTAGACATAATTTGCTAATAGACCTATCAGCCATATGAGCCAATTAAGTTAACCACTTCTGTAGAGTCCCAGTCCACATTCCTCTACAATGCTTATTTCAAGGTCATGGTTTCTTTATCATCCTGCCAGGCGGCACTCATACCGCCCAGCATGCACATGTGCGCTCATATATTGTAGTTAGAGGCACAAAGGGGTAATTAGTTTATGGCAGATGAAATTGCAGGAGCCAAACAGCATCCGAAGAGCTTCCCGTTTGTGGCTATGCGATATGTGCACACCTGTCCACTGCGGCCGGCTCCGCCGTGGACTGGCTCTACACATGCATTATTGGCACGCTAATTGTAGCTACTCATTTAGCGGAAATTAATTTTGCTCGACTGGCGTGCTCTTTGCCCGCCCGATTCAAGGGCAGCGAATGTTAACCGTGAGAGAGCAACCATTTTACCAAAGAATATTGCATTAGTGCGTTGTAACAGAATTACAAAATAAACAGTAGAGCGGCATAGCGTGAGAGCAGCGCAGCACAGCAGTGGAGCTGCAGCGCTGCAGAGGGGAGCTGGGGAGCAACAGAGCCTCTGCAGCTGGCGAAGCGCTGCGCAATAAAATCGCATTAGTGTTTGCCATGGCTACCTATGTATCTATTGACCGTAAGCCTCTTAGTGAGCAGTAGTGCGTCCCCTGATTGGTGCACCTATTGAATTATGTACACACGCTGGCTGGCAGCAACAGCTGCAATGCAGTTGAGGCAAGTGTGGGATGGGGGATGGGAGAGGCGGAGGCGGAGGCGACGGTGCTCACGGGCAGATCTGTCAGTCAACAAGGAGCGAAGCACTTGCAGCTACTCAACTCGTGTTGGGGCTTAGTTCAT